GTTAGTGTGTGTATGTAAGAGTTAGCGTGTGTGTGTGTGTTACAGCCAGTGTGTGTATGTAACAGTGTGTGTGTTAGAGCCAGTGTGTGTGTGTGTCTGTGTAAGAGTTAGTGTGTGTATGTCTATAAGCTGTGTGTGTGAGAGACTGTGTGTGTTAGCAGTGTGTGTAAGAGACTGGTTGTGTGTGTCTGTTAGAGCCAGTGAGCATGTATAAGCAGTGCAAGTGTGTAAGAAACTGTGTGCGTTAGAGCCAGTATGTGTGTATAAGCAGCGTGTGTAAGCAGTATGTGTGTAATGGTCAGTGTGTGTGTGTGTGTATGAGCGAGTGAGTGTGTGACACAAGGGGGTAAAGAAAAGTGGGATGAAGACACAAAACATAAAAAAGAATACCAAACAGGGGATACAATGTACAAAAAGGGAAAACAAGAGAAAAAGGTGGTAAGATGCACAAAAGAATGGGTAAGAGGGGCAAAAGTGGTAATATTAGACAGACAGGTTAAGATAAGTTTTGGGGGCAGCAAAATCTGTCTTATGTAGACAGAAGTCCTTGCACCAGCCCTGCTGATAGTGTGCTAAAGCTCAGGGTTAACTGAAGTCCCTTATTTGAAAATAATACCCTCTTGCTATGGTTGTGTATGTGATTTGGTTACCAACCCTTTGGTTGTGTCAAGTTGTGTCTAAAAAATGTAGTGAAGAAATATCAGGTGAGATCTGATCTGTCTTTCTAAGTTTATACCATATGATCAATGTTGTGTTAATTGTTGTATTGACGCTAATTGTCAAGGTTAAGTTGCTAGTGTTAGTAACAAGGAAGAAAGCTTCAAAAGGGGACCACGTTAGATAAGTGGGTTTTACCCCATTCAGTCAACTTAAAGGGACACTATAGTTACCAGAACAACTACAGCTTAATGCTGTTGTTCTGGTGAGTATAATAGCTCCATTCAAGCTTTTTTTTCATGCAAACACTGCCTTTTCAGAGAAAAGGCAGTGTTTACATTGCCTCTAGGAACACCTCAAAGTGGCCACTCCTCAGATTGCCACTTGAGGGGCTTCCTGGCTCAGTGCTGCACAATAGGCAACCCTGCTGTTCAGCATCCTGCCATTCAGCGAGACGCTGAATTTTCCTCATAGAGATGCGTTGATTTTTAAACTTTTATAGATGGGCTAAGGATGCCTCAATCCATGGAGCCAGGACTCCAATATTCCTAATGTAGAAATAGAAAGCCCCATTAATATTCTGTATAAGCCAAAATACCATAGTATTGCTGTATGCAATTATACATTTTTTTCATTGGTCTAACATAATACTTAAAAGACAAGCTTTAGAGAGCTTTTCCTCTCTTCCTCAGTTCTGAAGCAATACTTATCAATCTGATTTTAACACTTAAAACAACTGATGTTAGAGAAGGGGGAAGGGTGAGCGGGGTGTCTTAAATAGGAGAATATGTGCCTAAAACGGAAAGGTGCAGATTGGCTGAGAATAGCCAGAAAAAGTAAGTAAACAGAGGAGAGTCAATAAGCAAGTTAAAACAAAAAACAGCAGGGCATACAAATATACAGCTGCATATATGTGTATATATTTAAATTGATCAAATAAAGGTGAAGTGGGAATATAGAAAAAGAACTATATAAGACATTAAGATGTGTGTTTATATAAAGTTTTGGTAGTGTGTTAGAAAGCCTGAGTCTACATTAAGTCCTTAATTTCTGATGTTGAAATGTTTGATCATTTTCATCTCAAATGTCTTCTGTTCATGAAAGTCTTTAAAATTTAATTTAAGAACTTTAATACTGAGGTTTTGGATGGAGTGATCATTCTGGGTGAAGTGATGACCAACAAGAGGCAGGGGGAGCTATAGTGCCAGGAACACAGCTTTGTATTCCTGGCACTATAGTATCCCTTTAAGGCCAGTTTTCCCAATGTAGAAATCTTTGTCACACACTGACACACATATACACACACTAGCACATACATACACACTGATACACAGACACTGGCACATACAAACACACTGGCACACTGATACACACACTGATAAACCGATACACACACTGCATTGTTGAATCAAAGACCAATGTTGGTTACCAGACATCCAGGTATTCTACAATGCCACAGAGCCCCTAGGCATGCTGCTTATTAGGTTCCTTGTTGCTGAGCACATTGAGCAATGCCCACATAGCCAGTAAATGTAACAAGTGAAGACAGCAAGTCACACTGGAGGCTGTGTCTCTGTACTGTCCTTGACTTCTCCAGCCAACCACTCAAATAGAACACAGCAGAAGTACACTGTGTGGGTGTGAAAACAGAAATATGCTAAAATGTCCACGTTCCTCCCGCTTCCACACAGCTCCTGCCACATTCTGTTGCAGAAGAAGAAAGGTTGGTTAGAGGAGAAAGGATAGGTAAGTAGCAGGTAGACAACTGTGGGGTGGATAGCAACTTTTATGGGGAGATTATTATGTTATTTATATAGCGCCGTCAAATTCCGCAGCGCTTTACACTGGGTGGACGAACAGACATGTAGTTGTAACCAAACAAGTTGGACACACAGGAACAGAGAGGTTGAGGGCCCTGCTCATTGAGCTTACATGCTAGAGGGAGTGGGGTAAAACGACACAAAAAGGTAAGGATAGTATTAGACTAGTGACAGTTGCAGAAGAGGAATCAGTGAGGAGCTATTAACAGTTTAATTGATACGCTTTTATGAAGAAGTGGGTTTTTAATGATTTTTTGAAGGAGTGGAGACTGGGTGAGCATCTAACAGAGGAGGGAAGCGAGTTCCATAGGAACGTTGCAGCCCTCGAGAAATCTTGAAGGCGAGCATCAGAGGTGGGAGTACGGACAGAAGGTAGATGTAAGTCTTCAGCAGATCGTAAGGGCCTAGACGGGACATACTTGTGTATAAGGGAGGATAGATAGGTGGGAGCAGCATTATGTAGAGATTTTAAATTGTGCCCTATATCTTATAGGAAGCCAATGTAGGGACTGACAGAAGGGTGAGGTGTGGGCGGACAGGAAGATGAGCCTCGCACCCGCATTCATTATGGACTGTAATGGCGCAAGTTGGGAGCATGTAAGACCACTGTGAAGCAGATTACAGTAGTCAAGGCGAGAAAGGACAGTGGATTACTTAGTATTAGTAAATTCAGCCCCTACTCGCTATACCGCGAGTAGGGGTATGTCTAGTAAACAGTGAGCAGCCAGTGGCTTGAAATCCATCCAAAGAACTTTCCCACGCTGTGTAAAATGACACAGAGCACTCTGATTGGTTAGATTCCAAGCCCACCAATCAGAGTGTTATTAGTCAAATTACACAGCGTGGGAAAATTCCAAAGAACTTTCCCACGCTGTGTAAAATCACACAGAGCACTGTGATTGGATGGATTTTTTTTTTTTTGCGCTCTGGTTTTTTATTTTATTTTAAGTTCGACGGGTATGATGGTTTTTTATTTGGCCTTTTTTGGGGCTGAAAAATGAAGATTTTAGAAAAAAGAAGACGTCAAATGGTAAGTTTAATTTTTCTTTACAGGTTAGTTATTTTATTCCCCCCTCACTTTTTTTTAGGGTGAGGGGGGGTGGGGAGGGGGTAACTTTTTTTTTTGGGTGGGCAGGTGGGTGAATAGGGGCTTGGGGACCCCTAGTCACCTTTGATGGGGGGATTTGTCTTAGGGCCCCCACCTGCCGCCCTGGCCGGGGGGGGGGGAGGACAGTAGGTCCCCCCCATTATCTTTATGGCCCCCACCCGCTGCCCAGGGGTGGGGGCTGACAGTAGGTTCCCCCCATTGTAATTTATGGCCCCCATCCACCGTGCAGGGGTGGGGGCCGGGGGAGGACAGTAGGTCCCCCCCATTATCTTTATGGGGTGGGGGCCAGGGGGGGCAGGACAGTAGGTCCCCCCCCTTATTGTTATTTAGGGCCCCCACCCACCGCGCAGGTTTTTTTTTTTAAACAGGCTGCTCACTGTTTAGTAGACATGCCCCTACTCGGGGTATAGCGAGTAGGGGCATTCGGGAGCTTTTGATCTTCCTTATGCTATTATGGGGGTCATAGTGACCCCCATAGAGTGAGGTAGGACATGGGGTGGGCTTATGAAGTGGCGGGGAGCTTCTATCTTTACATATTACAAGGAGGGAGCTGTGCGCCAGTAGCTCCCTCCTTTTAATAAACTGAACGAACACGGATATTCAGTTTGTCTGACATTTCCATTCATTCGTATTTCTGATGAATGAATAGATGAAATTCCTGTTCGCATGCCCAAGTGTTTCACTGGGCATGTGCGGGAATCTCACAGTCTGTCTAGTGTGGGCAGATGACGTGTCCCACAGGGACTTCATCTGCCCACACAAAGATGGCAGCACCCTGAATATAGATCGGGGCAGGAAATAAAGATTTAAAAATAGGTAATCTGGGGGGTTTAGGGACATTTGTGGGTGACTAGGGGGTCAGTTAGATGTAGTGGAGTCGGGAGGGGGGGTTAAAAAAAGCAGGATTTAACTACAGAGATAGTTTTATTTTCGTTTACCCTTTATGTTATGCTCTAGCTGATACCTACCTCCATTACATTCCTGTATTTCATTTAAAATCAGTGGTGCAGGAAACTACGATACATAAATTCCGTTAGTCTTGAGATTACAAAAACAGATTGAATATAGGATGCTTTCATGCCAAACGTATGCCTTTTTGTAAATGACACTTTTTCCTGCCTTATGGTTTAAGGCAGCGTTTCCCAAACCAGTCCTCGAGACCCACCAACAGTCCAAGTTTTGTTAGTAGCTCCATTGGAATAAAACAGGGGAATACATAAATCCTGGACTGTTGGTGGGCCACGAGGACTGGTTTGTGGAATTAACATGGATGTATGCGTGATGTCATGTAGAACTTGCACAACTCAAAAAAGAGAATTATGAAGAAGAAAAAAATAGATAATAGACAAAGAAGAATAAATAAGGAATTAGTGTACTAGTGTGGGTAGCATGCTGATTAGGGAACAATATTCAAGGTTTAAAACATTGAAATACAGTGAACTGAAATTCAAATGACAAAAATTAGGCAACAATAGGTTACCTAAAAATGTATCCAACTTGGCAATAGTCACACCTTTTCTATTTTAGCCTAAAATTTTATATTTGGATTTCAGGTTTCAAAACTGTAGGGCTTTTTTAAGGCTTTAAATTTGAATTTCCTTCACAATAGTTGATATTTAGTATCCTTAACCACAATTGACTCTTGTACTTTTGTTCATGGTCATGAAATCCACTTATACCTATCATCGTGCATATCTCCAGCCTGTCTCCAATTCACGATGGTTTACAGTGACATCCATAATGTTGTTCACTTTAAATGAGGAAATAAAAAACTGGAGAGTTATTGTCCAGCATCTCCTCTTATTTGTACATTTCTTTGAAAAGTTGGATAAGCTTTTCTAATGATTTAATATTTTGGATACATTTTAAGTATATCATACATCAATTTAAAAGTCTTCTTTTCTGCAAAATTCCCATTACTACTTCAGGTCATTTCTACTAACCTTACGCCGTGGTCCTCTGCACATTACCAGGTAGATGTGCTGAGATTATCAATATTAAGGTTCTTCCATATTTGTTATACCATTTATTTTATTGTAAAGACAAAAAGGAATTGGGGGCACATCCGGAACATACATTTTGCACGAATGGTGCTGCTGTAGTGACCAAAATTCGCACACAATACAAATTAAGTTACAATGCATACATAATACATTTTTAAATCTTATAAGGCTACTTAAAATAGCTTATCTCCGCAAACAATTATGGGGATTCAGTTCCACCACATGAACTGAATCCTCAGATTTGTTTGCTGAGATAGGTAATTTTAAATAGCCTTGTAAAATGTTAAACTATTTTTTGTGTGTGTTGTTCCTTAATTTGTATTGTGTATGCATTTTATAGTTTACAGCAGCACCATTCCTGCAGAATGCATGTTCTGGTGTGCCACCAATTCCTTTTTGTTGTTACTATGTAATTTTGGAATCCAGACTAGATTCCCTTTTGGGGTTAAGCACCCCGCTCAGCCCCCAGTTTTAGAGGCCCCTTTGTACTAAATCCGTTTTTATTGAGGTCATCAAAGTAAACAGTTTTCCCACGCAGGAGATGTAGCGTAAAAAATATATTCCATGTGGTAAAACATTCACATTCTGGTGGTGTTTGGTGAAATCAACATGTTTAAACAATTTTCCCACGCTGGGGATGATGTGAAAACTGTGTAAAACATTTGTGTTAAATCGGTTAACATTTTGACGAACAAGTAAATGTGATGGTATTGCTAGTTGACAGGCAAAAGCTTGTGGTTGGCTATGAAGAGGCTTGTTTGTCCCGGGAAGTAAGTATACGGGAAGCCATACTATTAAGCAGGCATGTGCCCACTATGCGTAGATATACATATATTGCATCGACATGTGAAGCAAGTTTTGGTATGTCTGGGTTAATGCTTGTCTGATATGAGGAGCGCCCAAAACCTCTATCTCCTGAACCAAGTTGTATGTAAAGTATTCTGTGTGTTTGTATCAATATGTGGTCCATAAGTTTGCAGGTAATCTGCTAATCAGCAGTCTGGTTAGTTTCCATTGTGGTATTGCTACCGGTGGGAAAGGCTTGAAGCGGATGTGTATATAACGTGCGTAGCTCTTGTTAATAAGGAGGTTGCGTGTCTATGTCAAATTTAGTGGAATGTGTCAAGGGTATCTGTCGAAGTTCGGGGGTGGGTTGAGTCTGGGAGGCGTGCATGGCAAAGGGAGGAAAAAGTGGGGCGGGACAACCTGTGCCCGCTTGGGCATTGCCCTCAGCACCCCACAGGTTCACTCTCCGGTGTTCCGTCTGAATCCCCTCCGCTGTTCGCATGTTGTTTAGACGGCAGCTGTTGTATGAACTCGTCTGAGGCGATGTGCCTCTGCCAGTAAAACAATCGGTTTGTATATCTCGCTCTGTCTTTCATTGTGGTTGCTTTAAATCTTAGAATTTCCTTGTCCTTGAGGGGTGGGGCACAAGGTTGTCTCCAATATAGGGGGATGATTGCCTTTGCGGCATTAAGGAGCAGCAGGATTACCAATCTTTTATAGGCTGGTGTCAGCATGTTGGTGTGAACATATGTGGACGGTGTCTGTGCAATTGTTTCGTCCGTTACTTCTTTTTTTCTTAGGGAGTAGGGTCATCTTGACTGCGTTCACTCTTCCCAGTCACGAGATGTAGTACGAGTTTCAGGCGTGCATTTCCTCTACTGCTGTTTTGAGGATTGGTGTGAAATTATGTGTATATAAGTCTGCCAAGTCGGGGGTGAGCCAAACCCCTAAGTATCGCATCTGTTTTGTGCACCATTGGAAGGGATGTCTGTGTTCCAATGTCAGTCTCTGTGCATGGCCTATGATGAGGGCCAGGATTTGATTTCTGAGAGGTGTGCTTTTTTTAAATGCGTTTTTCGCGGGTGCCACGAGGAGCTGAAGAATTATGCGGAAATTATATTTTCCAGCTGCCAGACACACCCCCAGAGGTCCCTCTGGAGGTGACCACAGGTATATATTTGAGAGGTTTTAGGGTAGTAATGTCACTTTTATTATAACTTTCATTGAGCAGATATATAATTTGCATTGCAAGTATATTCATCCAAGTACTATAAAACTTTAATTGTTTAGTTTTGACACTTTTTATTCGCGTTTATCACATTAATTTTGTATTCTATATACTCACAATAGATATATTATGTACACTTTAGCTTATTTAGCACCAGTACTGTTTAATTTGTCGCCCATGTTTGGAATTAGTGTAGGACCCACCGATATTGGGGTACTGTGAAGTAGTGGTGGGCTTAACACAATATAGTCATATGGTGGAACTGAATCCCCATATTTGTTTGTCGAGATAGGCGATTTTTAGAAGCCTTATAAGATTAAAAAATTTATTTTTATCTATGCGCTATAAGTTAATCTGTATTTATTTCAGATCTTTCCAGTTGGCCTTCATTCTATTTCACAAAATGTAAAACATTCATCCCCAAATGTGTGTGACAGGAAGCGACCCCAATTAAAGGGACATGCATCACTGGACATTTTTTTTTTAAACCGACAAGCAAGTACTTAAATAATAAACAAACCTTTGAAAAGTATGTAATAAATTTACAAACTTACTATAAACATGGTTACATTGCATTGTTGGGCACGCCTTTCAGCTGAGGGAGTTTTTTCAGCCTCCTCTCCCCTCCACGCCCACCTCTTACCTGCCCATTTTAGGCTCTTCTCCCCTTGTAAAGTTGAAAAGTTCTTCCAAATGCACATGTGCAAATCTGGCAGGCATGCCCAATGCATTTTCCAGCATTCCTATGTATAGGACACTTGGTTAGATCAGTGTCCATCATGTAGTAGGTGTGAAAGGCATAAGAACTACTCCTGGCACTATAGCAAACTGTAGTGCTTAACGTGTCTCTTTAAATTGCATTATAAACAAAACATACACAGTTTCAAAGAAGAGAGGAATCTGAACAGTTAAAAGTATAACAATGATCTATGGATTTATTTTATCTTGTTATTCATGTAACAGAAATTAAATGATCAAGAACAGAGGAGCAGGAGTTCAGATAAATAGTTAAAATCTAAAAACGGTCTTTTTGCAGAGCCTACAGATAGAAATCGAGTTCTTACAAGGCAAGTATTGCCTTACAACAGTCATTCCAGTCAGTAATATGACTGATATTCTGTCCACGTTAAGAGGCTGTTCTCGGCCGTTTCTGAAGACAATTGCAAGTTAATCCAGGAAAAAGATGTTACTAAACTGCGATGAACAAAGTTTCTTTATTTCTTCTGTAAAAGAAAGAACATGACAAACAAGATTATTTCAACAGAGTTGTCCTTAAAAGAAATGCAATAAAAACATATTTAGTTCACAAATTAAAACCAAGTCATGAGGCAGCATAAAACAGCCAACCATTATGAAAAGAGTAGTTTGTGGCAGTCGTTATGTAAGCTATTGCAAGTCCTCACCCACAATTCCAAGTGTAAGAGTTTAGCAAGACCATTTATACAGTATTATTCTGCACTACGTAAATAGAATTTAGCCATGTACCAATCGCCCCTCTCTGGCTGTTGGTCTGGAAGCGGTTGTGAAAAACTAAAAGGAAATCTGTCAGGCACTTACATTACCTTCTCTTTCCCCACCGCAATCCCCTTACATGACGCAACATATTAGCTTTGTTGCCAGAATGCTGGTTTTGGAACGTTAAAATTAAAGTTAAAAAGTCTATGCTAAATAAATGATTGACAGGTGGGCGAAAAAAACTTATTTAAAAAAAATAAATTAAAAAAATAAATAAAAATTCTTCCAATCTATACATTTCTTGCAAAACTGCTAGCACAATGTACAGATGAAATTTCACTATTTTCTTTTTTCTTTATTTATTTTTTTTTTTTTTACAAAGAACATGAGTAGTTTGGGGATGACAGGATCCCTTTAAATTATTGTCATGATACTCACAATGCTGCATCTATACTATGTTGAATTTATATAAAATAAAAGGAAATACATCAAAACCACTTCTATAAGCTAAAAAATATATTCGCTAAATTTTTTTGTAAAGCACTTTAAATAACAGCACTACATAGATACAGATATATAAATATAACAATTACCAATGTTGAAATTACAAAATACAGAATATGACAATGTTAGATGTTAAATTCTGATCTTTAAGCTATGGAGTAAGAAAAAATAAATTAGAGGCTTTTACTATTAATGAGTCTTCGGCCAGGTTCCAAAGTTTAACATAGAACAGATATAAGAAACCCTAAACGTAACTTGAGAAAGGTGTAGGAAAGGACGGGACGCCACAAAGTCATTTCATCCTGACTCTTTAGAAGGAGATGCACCTTCTGAATATTTTAGAACGGTACCTATCATCAGAACTTTTCTTTGGATCATCATACATGCATTATTAAAAATGGAAAATTCTTAATTTATGCAATCTGTGCATTTTTTTTAAATTTTTTTTTTAAATAAAAATGTATTTTAAGATTTACAACTAACCTGGCTTTGCTTGTGGTGCTGATGGCACTCAGCATCAGGCATTTTAAACACACATGATCTTTTCACAGCACAATGGAATGCTTGAGTGCTAACCTGTCACAAATGTATTTTGACTGCCTGCCCGGAATTACATTTTTTAAAATTGAAATTCAATTAACTTTATTGTATTAA